ATATATATATATATATATATATATATATATATATATATATATATATATATATATATATATATATATATATATATATATATATATATATATATATATATATATATATATATATATATATATATATATATATATATATATATATGTGCTTAACATCGTATCTCACTTACCTCAGAAATAGGAAGATTTGGTATATGTAAAATAGGATATTTACTTTTTATTTTGTCTACTATATGTCTATATGCTTTTGTAAATTAATTTGAGATCTTTTTTTCTTTTCAAATATCAGTTTTGTATTCAGTCATTTTGGTTTTTTCTCGCTGCTATTGCTCTTATTCATACCTTGCTATGGTTTGGCCGTTCATATATCATCACTTCTCAAACAGTTGAAATTTATCTCATTTCTGCTGTTACGTATTATCCAAACAGACAATAAATTTTAGGATGTTGTTTCTCTTACGGATCATGCCGTTTTAAGCGATTTCGCAAACTTTTGAATTCTCGAATAATTTTCAAAATTTAAAAAGCTATAAAGGTATGGCAAATACCAAGTGAGACGGAGGGCAGAGGAACGAGGCTAGACGATGATTGAGGAGGAATAAGCGTATGACAATGGAGTAATGTCCAACTAATGGATAAGACTTGGATAAAGATTAGGTGGTATTCCGGAAGTTGATCTGTGATTAAAAGGATTCCATGTTGCTGAGCGATATGTGATTTTTACAGCGCCATGGATGATGATATAGCTGAATCATGTGGTTGCATGACAGCCGATTGGCTAAGTGAACAACTGGCGGATTTTATGTACACATTTGAAAATGATTCTGATGGAGAATTTGTTGCCAAAGGTTCATTTATTTTTTAGCATTTTGCCGGTGACGTATGTGGGATATATCGAAGTGACAGCCAGTCTCTAATGTTGATAATGTATAAATTTGAACTGAAACATTCTCTGTCTCATCGAAAGTTTATTAGTTACCTAGATGACCATATTACAATAGGGAATAAGGCAGTAAGAATTGAATTTTGCAAAGACGTACCTAAACTGAAACCTAATTCTTTTCATATTTTTGTTGAGATTATTGTTTTTATTTGAAGCAAATGATCTCTCCAAACAATACTGCAAAAGTGGTGAAGATTTTGTTAGTGAATTGATCGCATTTGTAACGAATCAAAAGCAGACGCATGTGAATCTTTCAATGTTGGATAGTTTCGAACAGATGGTAATTACTATAAAGTTTATTGTTATATTAAATGTTATATTATGTTGTATTAAACATAATAATAGTATATGCTTGATGAATTTTTGATAGGTATAATGGATTTTAAGAGATAAAAAGTAGATGATGGCTTTTAATGAAAGCAAAAGTTTTCGTGCGGAACTTTTGAAGTAATTCGCTTTATCCTTGCTGTTGAGAATTTCAAAAATTTTATAATTTAACTTTCATTTTTATATTCATTTAGGTTCTTCATAGAGCTGTCCAAAATTACAAGGATGAATCGTTCAATACCTCTTACACGAAGTAATTTTTATTCATCATTTTTTAATGGTAGCTTTATTTCCTGGTAAGGTGTATAAGAAAGGAAATGACAAACGATGTGCTGCCGTACACTTCTCTGTGCATCGTAGTAATTTATTCCGGCCAGTGAAATATCATCTATTTATGGTAAAGCAGTTTCTGATAGATTCAGTACTATTCGATTGATTTTTATTTTATGTAATTTCAGAATTGCATTTAACGAACGCAATAAGAATTCATGGCTTGATGACAGTAGCACAGTTGACGATACGACTGTAGATTTTTCAGACGAAAATTTCACTTTGCCTGAGAAATATTTGGCTTTTACACCAATCAAGTTGGGGCATTATTCTCATAATTCATTTCTTGGTTGAAATCGTCCGTTAATTGGATTGTTATAAGCAATATTTAGTGAATTTAAGACTAACATTTATTTCGACTAATTGTTCATTTCAGGAAATCCATATCTGATGCCGTATATCAGAATCGGAAAGATTCGGGCAAAATTATTGTAAAATTCACAGGGAAAAATTTCACTGCAAAAGGAAGTGATGGAGTCAAATACGACAATGTATGTAAAGTCGTTGTGGAAAGGCTATACGCTGATGATTACAAAAATTTGTTACAATATGGTGCTGAAAAAGATTTGGAGCAAATTGAAGGTGAAGCGAGGAAATTCTTTGATCATTTCATAATGTGGGATTATCTACGTAAGCCGATATGTAGGAATATTAGTATGTAAACATTCACTTTCGATGCATAACTTTATTTCTACTTCATTTTAAGAATTGTAACTGAAGGCTTAATTCTCAGAATTCATAATAAGTCATAATTCGAATGGAATTAACTTTATTATTTTGTTAGATTATAAAAATTTGTTGCTAAATTTTAAGTAACAGGATTCAAAACTATTATCGAAAGTAAATATAGTCTAACCTAAACTGACCTACAGATTTAAAATTTTCGTGAAATTCCGAAAATACTGATAGCTTAATTATTATGTTGTAACAAATGAAGTGAAATGTTTCGTTTATTTTACTTTGGGGGAAAGAACTCATAATGTTTTGAGGTTTTTGCTGATGGTACATCTGATTAGCTTTTGAATATGTTGGTCTCATTTAAGCACTTGTTTCACGAGTTCGAAGTTTGTGCGATATAATCAAGGACGAAAACGAAACACTGGCTGACGATGAACAAACAGATTCATTATCATTTGTATGTCCTTTTCTTCTCGAAACTGAATTGTTTTGAAATAAACATGAAATTATAGATTTGCTTTGTCATTTCTATTTAAGCGAATTTCAGATTTCTTTTTATTTATCATGTTTTTTTAATATGAAGAATTCTCAATAAAGGAGTCTAATTTAAGTGTAGCGCATTTTTCGTATGTATAAAAATTTTTGTGGAAGAACACCGAAGAAATTTGTTTGCAGATACGAAACGTATATTCGGGGTTCATCGTGAATAATACAGAAGATCCACTAGATGCCTCAAATTGTTCTTTGCAATGCGTTGATCAAAGTGCTGCTGTTATAAACCTCGATTTAAGCAATCTTAAAACCTATTCATTGTTCCCTGGGAAGGTAACTCTTGATTTATTTTATTCAGCCTACATTTACAACACATTTTCAGCGGAAAGGAAGTTTGACAATAACTAGGTACATAGCCAAACGTGTATTCTTCTATGATACCTGAATTAGACTGGATTCGAGTTAAATTCATTTCATTGCATTATCAGCTCTCCATACTATTTTCTGTTTAATAGTTTGGTGTTATTATAGATTGTTGCATTTCGTGGAGCTTTTGCTGGTGATATATTTGTCCCGGATGAAATCTTTGAGCCTAAGGAACCTTCAGCTGCGCCTTTTAATAAACAAGCAGAGATTGGTAAGATCTTGCTGGTCTATGTTGTTAGAAAGATTTTGTGGAGGTAATTAGTAATTATTTGCTTCATTGAACTAAGGTATTGAATATGTGGAATCGACTTACGCAAAGTTATTGCATTTTGGAATATAATTACGGGTGACCAGTTCCGACGTACTTTCAATAATAGACATTTAATAAAAATGTATAGCAGAAAAGATGTAAATTAGAAATGAGTGTTATGGTTTTTTTTTCCAGATCTGCTTCATGTTTGGTGTGCTTGTGGTCCGTTTTCTTCTTCTAAAACTCTCTCTTATGAACAGCTCTGCGATCTAATCGAATTAGTGAGGAAGGAGCGACCTAATATTCTAATTTTGGTACATATTAGGCTTTTCTGTTATTTGAATAATGCTGTGCTGTTTTGAGAATTGTAAAACATCAGATTGGTCCGTTCATTGATCGAACAAGTCCAGTGGTGAAGTCACCCCAATGCTGTTACACCTACGACGATGTTATGGAAATGCTTCTTACAAAAATTGGTGAAGCCTTATTAGGGTTCGTTATTTACGAAAGCACGAGTTGTCATATAACTGAAAGAACTGGTCTAACTGATCTGTAACTGAAGCACTTCTATTTAAATAAGATTATCTTGCTTACAAGTTACAAGAAGTGAGAAACGTTACGCTTGTAAGAATTGGAATGTGGAAATGATTATATTTTTCTGTTTGTAACGAAACTATAGGTTGAATTATATAAGAAATAAAGAAATAGAAAATGATTTTTTGCATTCAAAAAATCATTTTCTATTTCTTTGAAATTTTCTTATTTCTTAGAGAGAAGGAAATGTTTTAAATAAAGCTTTTTATCCTGTGGAAGTGTTAATCAAACGTGAAATTTCTTTTTGGAATCCAAACACTGGAATCGATTATTTATATTTCCAGGACTGATGTTCAAGTATTAATAGTTCCAAATGGAAAAAAGATGCCGCACTGCGACCATCTTTCCCTACTCCACCGTTCCGTTCATTTAAACAGCGAAAACAGCAGTTAGGCAAGGTTATCTCTTTAGTCCATCAAGCAGTTTCTTTGACCACTTTCATATTTTGCTTGAAGCGTTTGAGATTCAAAGTTCCCTCATTCATTATTCTTTAGCATGCATCAATGGTCTTTAGTGTCATTTGCGATTTTTTCCTAAATATATTATTACTTTACAGAACATAGTACTTCTACCGGATCCTGCCATCGTTCGGATTGCTGGTATTGAATTTGCTATAACAGCATCGGAAATCATCCAGCATTTAGGGAGAGATGAAATAGGCCACTTCGATAGTCATGAAGATCAGGACCGAATATCTCGACTTGTCCGAGATTTGTTCAGGTAATGATGCTTGGCTACATTTGTAAGGTAAAATTAATTTATGCTATCAGTAAAAAGCTAGCTATAGGTTGTAAAATTTTCTCATAGTAGAATAAGGTAGTCGAACTCCTTATTTATAAGATATTATAGCTTTTCTTATAAATCCAAGAATGATGCCAAACATTGATTAAGAGAATAATTCCACGATGCTAGCTTTCATCCCCACTTCACATTTCTTTCGTCCCGTTTCACTTCTAAGACACTGATCTTTGGCGAATAAGTTGAACCTCATAATGGGATACTCATTATATGAATAATGCATTTAAATTTGAATATTTATTGCTTTTTCCGAAATTGCTGAATATCTCCCGATATTTATTTCTATCTGTAATTGAAAACAAATCTTTACATGTATATTCAAGCTGAATAATCTTGCAGACAGCGTTCTTTGTACCCGTTATATCCTGCAGCCGAAGATGTTACCTATCGACTCCGTGAAGCTGTCGAGCGCACATCACTCTCTGTAATACCTCATATTATCATTTTGCCATCAATACTCGCGCCTACCGTAAAGGTACTTTCTTAACAGCTTCAGATATATTAATCTAAATTAGTTGCTTTGGATAGCTGTAATTCGCCGTACTTCCGTGTTAAATGGTGAATAAGTTTCTCTCAATGGATTCATGATACAGGTAGTCGCCAATTCAGTATTTGTGAATACCAATGCATTAGTACGTGGAAGCAGTGGTACATTCATGAAATTGAAAGTTGATCTCAGAGAAATTGATGGAAGGAAAGAGAATTCGCTTATATCAGTTGCTGATTTTTGCGAAGTACAGATTGTACGCTTGTAACATATACCGCTGAATACGTATGAAATCTTTGCCACGTTTTATTTTTTACCATACTTTGCCAGATATCATGAATAAATGAATTTAAAATTAAGTGAAGAGTACTGCAAGATTCGCGATGCATGCTGATGACTCCTTCACTGACCATTAAAACCGTTACTTGCGAACAGGAATTCCTTTTGCTAATGAACACAGCTATGCCCAGCAGATAATGCCAGTTTTGCAATGTTTTACGAAATACAATGATTTTGCAATGCCACTGTTTTTCAAAATATAATGATTTTGCCGAGTCTACTAGTGTCATATTTATTATGTACCAAACAAAATTACCTAGCAATTAAGAACAGAGGTAATGAACCTCACATTTCGAAAGAGTCTTACTGGACTTCAATTAAAGCTTATCAATAGGAACTATTCTAAAACGATGACAGATATTTTGTCCAAATAGATATGATTTTAATATGAAACGAATATTTAAGCATATAATTTGACAAACGAAATTATCTTGAAATCACAGCATGAATTTCAAATAAACATCCAGGGCATTCAGTATCTTTATTTACGTTACTCTTCGTGATAAATCAAGAAACCTGAGCATAAATTACAAGCATATATCAGTAAGACTAATTTAGCACCCAACAACTTTTATCTGCTTTTATCACCGCTACTACGAGACCGATGCCTTCGTTTCTTCTTTTTTTTTCTCCTTGAGACTTTTCGCTCAGACGAACTAGAACTTTCTCGAGATCTGGAATTCAATTTTGAAGTTAGTTGTAGTCAGTCATATGTCTCCATAAGTTAATGACACCAACCATCGTTTTATGGAAATTATGCTTTTCGATGCGTAAACATTATTTACATGCCGCATTGAGAATCAAGATTACGTACATTTGTAAAAATAAAGTTTGAAAGTGAAATGTGTAAATAATCACTCCCAATAATACCTAATATACCAAACCTCCTGTGACGTTTGCCCGATTTGCTGCAATGTTCATCTAATAATCGACTTTCATCGTTTTTTCCTTCTCGCTTTTTTTTCCTTTTTATGATGACGGCTTTTTGAATGTTTGGAACTTTTCCTGCAACTTTACTTTTCAGAATAGCCAATAAATGCACAGAATGATGAGAGCCGGATGAAAAAAAGTTTTTTCTTAACGCCCCTACACTAATTTTAATTTTAACTATGTAAGACATACAAGAAACCATATGCTTCAAGTTTACTTCCGCAAAGCTATCATTATATTTTAAGAGACGCTATACAAAATCGTAATTTTGAAAATGAATTAACATTTCTAGGTATAATAATAGTGAAATGGTAGCAATGGAAAAAATTATTAATGTACCGTTAGGAAGTGTAATAGAAATATGAATGTGTGAAAAACTCCAAATCGAAGTAAATATAATGATAGTTTGAAGTTATTAATTCACTTTTCTTTAAATGTTTCGCTGATCATTTTATCAATTCGTGAATTAATTAGCTGATCAATCGCGGAGGTTGAAAAGATCATTTCCACATCACTTACATCACCTTTGCTTTTCGATTTTGGGGTTATCGACGAAGTTGACTGAAAATACATTTTTCCACATTGATTTTCGAGGTACAACTTCAAGAAATGTTCGAGGAAACTTACTAAAACTTCTATCACCAAAAAAAGTTTAGAAAGAACTTACACGCGTTTCTTCGTATTTTTTTAGAAGCTCGCTTTCCCGTTTCAGTTGTTCCTCATTTTGAGCTCTCAATTTTGCAGCCCGTTTCTCGTTCAGAATCTTCTCCATAAAAAGGCGAGCCTTAAAAGAAATCAAATGCATTCCAGGTGTAACAAAATTCATCACTCGAATTTACTCAATTATTTTCGAAAGAAAATATAAAGAAGTTAAATGACCAGGGAATTACTTTTAACTTTCGTTCTGACTGAAGTTCAACTGAACCTTCCACTGCAAGCTGCCCGGAGGACAGAGGAACTGGAGCAACTGGAGGTGGCGGTATTGTCAAGCCTGGTGGAGGGATCTGTAAACAAGTACCAAGTTTTAAAAACTTGTATCTCATAATAGGATATGAGTCAGCTTCCCAAAACATTTCACTCAGTCTAACAAATATAAAAATTTTGTATTCATCTGGAAACATTTTAGTAAAATCAATAAATTTATCAATTAAAATACTTTTTAAAAAGATTAAAATTTCTTTTTAAACTTTGAAAAATCTAGAAATCTATGAAAAAATTTGATCCTAAAATTTTGAAAAAAATCTTAAAAAACTGAAAAGTTTTCGAAAATTTTAAAAATCGTTTAAAATTTCCTTAAGATTTTTTAATGAAATTTTAAAATTTACGTTACTAAGAACACCCGGAGGAACATCAACCGCTTCTGTTCCACCATTCTCATCATCATATGCTCCAAGTTTAACAGCACTGCAAGCAGATCAATATTAGACTATTCGGAATTTCCAGAAACAGCACAAGATCATCAACATAGAAACAACATAGGGTCAATATTTTACAATTCTGGAATATCAACGTTCTATATCACTTTCGGTTAAATGTTATATTTCCAAAAGAGAACTCTATTAAATAAAGCCTTTGCTATTAGAAGATAGCCCTCATCTCTCATAATCATAATCCTGCTCTCCAACCATAAGCTTTCCAATTTTTGAACTCTTTTCGCTCGCAGTAATGCCAGCAAAGAATTCTTCAACTGTTCCGCAAATGTCCGGGTCGGATAAAGTCATATTCCTTTTTCATCATTGGGCTACTTCATGTAGATACGAACTACAATCCTCAAGATGAAAATGATGCGTTCGTTGTCAACAGGCTACCGTGTTCGCAATAAAAGAATGATTCCCTTTTAAATATGCTAACATTTCCTTATTTCTGAGTAAAATTACTTACCTTGCTATTTTCGGAACTTTTCTGTCATCTGCTTTTTGAATGTTTAAAGAGAAAGATATTGGACCCGTTGCTGCTTTTTTCACTGATAAGTTTGAATTTCCTTCTCGCTCCTCAGTATTATCCAGAAGTGTCGGCAATGATTGCACTTTATTTAACTATAATAAATACTGCATGGTGTACAGGAAGAAAATTTTCGAAGCAACTGAATGTGTAGCAGTTTAGAAATTACTCCGAAGCAAATAAAGAACATGAGTCTTTATGTGCTTAGTGCTCTTATTTTTCTTTTTTTAAAAAAGAAAAACAGAATATTGGTTTTCGTTCCATCTCCTAACAATTAACAAGATTGTAGCAAGCAGCAATGTTGTTTGCAGGATGACAGTAACTATATCAATTATAGATGAATCAGGGAATCAGGAAACAAATACTGATATAACAGGAAAATTTAACGCCAATTAAATAATCATAACTAATAAGTTGGCTAAGGGTAACGAAAAAACTCCTAACCTGAACATCAAAGTCGATCACTCCAACTTCAGCAACATTTTGCACAGCTGGTTCAGGTGTACGTGGTGGATCATGGAAACCTCGACGGCGCATTTTTCGGTTCATGAAAGGTGGTGGTGGGGGAGGTGCTTGCAATAAATCAGAAAATGATTTGTTTGGTTGTTCAGGAATGTCGCTGTCAATTTTAGAGAACTGTTCCGCATCACATTTTCCTAAATTAAAATTTTTTATTATAAAGGCAAACGGCTATCAGTGATTTTAATTCCTGCGAAAAATCGCCAAAAACAAATTTCGCACATTGCTTACCCGAAACATCCACCTCCTGCTTCGCTGTATTACACTCTTCTGCTTCTGCATCTCCCGTCACCTAGAATTTAAATTTCAAATTAATTTTATGTTCCAGAAGGTCGCTTTGCAATATTTTAAAAAATTAAGTCCGGAATATCAATAAGAAACGAAAACAGTGGAATAATATTGTTGTTTATTACTATGAAGTATGCCTTACCTTTTGAGAGTGCATGTAAGAAGTATGGACCTTCTGGTAATATCGAATACGTGAATGATAATAGCCATAATAAGGACCGTCAGCACATAAAAATCCGATGTTAAGGTCATGCCGCCCTGGAAAACATTCAGTGGTTGGTTTGGAAAATTCCTTCTCGAAATTTGTAAAGTGAAGTACTTAAGAGTCACAGTAAAATTTGTTACCTAGCAAAATTTGTTCGGCTTGGATTCCATATCTAGCAACATATTCTGCAGCGCTATTAACGGTAGGCATAATATCAGGTGGAGGCGGTATCACATTTGGCTGTTCATTGCTTGGTGGTGGTTCTCCGTAGAAACTCAGATACCACTCATAGTAATCGCCTTTTTCCAAGTCTTTTGTTTTTTCCGTAGTTCTACAAAATTGCAGAACTCCAGTAAAAAAAGAATTCATTTTGTTGGCGTACGAGAATATTTGATAGCAATTTTGCACACAGTCGAGATGGTGTCGAATAAAATTTCTTCAGTTAGTTCTGATTTTTAGTTGGAAAAAACAATAACTTACTCATCCTTGCTTTCAGCAGCCTGTACTGCTCTTGTCTGTGTGACAACTAAATCAGAAAGATTCTTGAAGAGCGAAGAATACATGTCGTCAGCCTGAAACAAATAACTACACACTGGAAATAATGAATATGCACGATTCTTGCATTTAAGATTTTGGAAAATAAGTTTTTGTCTCAACTAGACAAAAAATTTAAACAGCCTCACGGATAAAATAAACATATTTAATAACCTTTCCCAATTTGTAGTCAGTTTTAACTTGCAGTTGTTTCTTATTAGCGACATCATTTTCTTCCTTCGTCTTCGGACCAATTACTGGAGAACTACTTCCAGAATCAGTTTTCCGTGCTCCCCCCATCAACAAAGGATGGAGATAATTTCCACTGGCATCAGATTCCGAATCGCTATCAGAACTAGAACCTAAAAAAAATCAGATGAATCATCGCAGATGAATTTAAAAAAAACTAACATCAAACTAAGATCGTGGGAAAATAGGAAAAAGTAGACATTAATATCCCAGTTACGAAAATTTGTTGAATGAACCTCGAACTAATTTTTGAATAAGATAAAACTTACCAACATCTACGTCCTCTTTCTGTTTCTGTTGCTCCTCTAACAATCGTTTTTCTTCTTCCAAGCGTTTTAATTTTTTCAATTTCGGACGACGCATTGGAACATGCGGTTTTGGTGCATACTTCTTTTCTCGTATCAGCTTTGAGATATATTTATAATAAGCATTCAAAGGATGATCAAATTCCAGAAAACCAAACTAAAAAAGTAATCCTTCAACAGACATTAGAGCAACCTATCCAACTATATATATTTCAAACCAACAAATGAACAGATGCAATGATGAGGACCTGATCTTGATTCCCACGCTGTTTTGCTTTGATGACGATTTCCATTTGCGGACCTTGGGCAACGACAAATGTCGCTGTACGCTCTATCACAGCATTTTGTTTCATTGTATCTGGCTAAATGAGAAAGGAAATAAACACCAATTTATTACTATTCCTGTAATGCAATTAAATGCAATTACAAGGAACAAAAATTTGAAAATCATTCTCATATTCTTATTTACTTGAATAATTTCTCTTAGAAAAACGAAGATATCAATTCATTATGTCCGACAAGATATACCAAATTCATGCCGAACGGAAGTTTGATATTTTCTGGAGGTTGGAATAGTTCGTCAATTTCTTCTTCACTACTACTGCTACTTGCTTGTTTACAATTTTCATCATAATTAAATGCAATTTCGGCACGCTTTCGCTTTTCCTCCTCTTCTTCTGCAAACAAAAGAGGATCACAAAAACATCTATTACAATTTATTCATTGATAAAGCAAAAACCAATTTTGTAAAAAATAAAGTACAACATTTGAAACATTCACCCAGTCGTAGTCAATTCTAGTAACAATTCATTGACATTCCTTTGTATATATACTAACAATTTTTAGCCTTTTTTTTTAAGAACAACAGCTACCTTATAATGAACTTATACGGCAATTTGCTTCCATAGTTAGTTAAACTTCATAACCTTACGTTCAAGTCTTTTCATATCTTCGTGCATGTCTTTATATCGCTCCTCTTCGCACATTTCCTCTTCGAGCAATTCTGCAGGACAGTCATATCCAATCCCAGTCTGACTATTGCTTTCTCCAGTAATACATGCAATATCCAACGCCTCTGTACTTGAAAGATGTAAGCGACAGTCATACCTGGAAATGACGGTTACATGACAGTGTAAAATGATGGATGAATACAATATGAAGACATAGAAACTAAGTTTCAAGTGGAATTTCAAAGTTTATGAACTTAGTTCCTATATCTTCCACGGCATTTCTTCTCGAAGCCAAGCCAAACTAGGCTTCTCCCAACAACAAAAATATTCATCTCACAATTATAGTGCACTTACGAAAAGTACATACCACCATCCTGCCCAAACTATTGGGCGTGTGTAACACTCCATCCATATCTGAAATGTTGACAAAAAACATTATTCGACACTTACCAATTAAAATTTCTTGATAAAGAAAGAAAAGCAGTTAAGTTACTACAAGATGGCAATCGCTTACCTTCGCTTGATATTTCAAATTACTGTTGCTCTGGCACTTTTTTTTCGCATTATTCCTTCCAAAATTTATTCATCCGTCCGATTTTTTAAATGCTTTACTGGATGATTGAATTTTTCAAATAATTTGTAAAGTTAAGAAGAAAGGGAACCCCATCTATGGAAATATCCTTCCTTCAGAGGATACCATTCATAGTGGGATGCCTTTTTTTTCGAAAAGTTCATTCCTATTCTGTGCCCAAAAAAGAAACGAAAAATAAGAGACAAAAGTAATACTGATTAGGTGCTAAGATTCTAAATGTAATATAGACCATTATCGGATAGATTGGATTTCACAGAATATATAAGTAGACTTCTCAGTTTTCGCGATGAATTATGGTGAGAGGAATACTCTTTGACAAAGATTTAATTCTTTGTAGACTACTTCCCAATACTCGAAAAGGAATGTTGATGAAAATTCTTTTTTAAATATAAAATAGCAATTTGCTAAACAGGTACACTCATCAGGATCATTCGTCTCCATTTAATTTAGAGCGTTTCTCGATGGTATTCTGATTTGATACACAGAACTATAGGAAGAAAAGCAAGACGATAGCAGTTCTTGTACTTCTTCATTAAACGATCCTATTAATTGAGTATCAGTGATTCGAACTACCCGACCCATGACAGCAATTTTAATGGAAAAACAAGATTATTTTAAAAAATCAAATGAAACCTACCAATAGTATTGCTGAATTTATACCACCACTTTTGAGCTGCCGTACATTACACATCTTCAGCAATCTGTTTCGAAAGAAGTACGCAACAAAAATTCAATCACTGAGTTAACGCCTTCCACTAACTCACCTATCAATCAGTAACTGTGAATCTGCCGGATGTGCTATCAGATGTCGTTCTTCTGCAACCCACTCTGCGCGATCATCGTTTGCATATATTCGTGATGCATAGCCAAACACAAGCAATTTATCCTAGGACAATGCAAATCATTTAGTTCTAAGCAAAATTTTCATACCATATGAAAACTTTACTTAGGTAATACTTGGAAATAACAAAACTGTTCCTTGAACCTAAGAATGATATTGTCTTCGGAAAGCTCAAAGAAAGGCAATGTCTTTCCCATTCTTAAGTCCCATTCCAGGTTTGCGACCTAAATACTGATAGAGTAAAACAAACTTTGAACTTCCAATATAGTAATACTTTTTCTTTCTTTTTACCCTTCATTCTTGGTATCTAACCCTTTCCCGGAGGATCGTCCTGGTAGCTATCTCTTCATTTGTTTGAAAAAAACCTACTCCCAAATACTACATCAACATCCTAGCTGTAAGATTTCAAAAGTCCATTCAAAGCAATTGGTGGGTGGTGAAAATTAAGAATTTAACGTGAATAACGTATGAATTTGCGACGCTTTCCACACCCATTTAATTCTGAAGAACACATTTTTATCCACATTTCCTAAATCATCTTAAAAGTTTGAATAGTGAGGATGGGAAAGACTGAAAATTTTGTTTGAACTGAAACTATCTCAACAAAAACGAAACATATGAAGAAATTCATAACAAGAAAAGTTTAGAGGACAAAAAACTATCCAGACAAAAACCTTACCTGTGTGTCATCTGGCCCTCGCCGTTTGGCACCGCGACACAGCCTTATATTTTCTGCACTCATACTATAAGTCATCAAACTGAGATGGTTAAGCAACCGTGTAGAATGAGATGCTATGAATCATTTCTGTGGCCAGTTCTATAATTAACAAAATAGAAGTTTCGAAAAATAACATGCGTAAGCATAAATAGGAGCATACGACAAACAAGCGCCTACCGCATACCGCTCCTTCCCTATTTTTATTTGCATACATGTACAAGGCTATGAGTATGTGAAAGTTTTCGACTTATAAAAATAAAAATATATGGAACTGAAGGGAACAGTTATTCAAATAGCCGACCAGAAATACTGAACAATCGAAGAATTCGTTTAGCTACAAAAGCTTTTAAACTCATTCATTCAAAGCCGATTTAATTTGATGCCATAAAAAAACACTGTCAGTATATGACTGGTAAGTGAAATATTTGAAATATCAGCATTTGCTTAGATCAAAACGGCACAGGCTATGGGGATGCAAGCGCATATCATATGTATTTTATCAATATCATAAAAAAAAAGTAAACAGCTCATTTACAAGGACTCCACCGAAATGTTCATGGTACTCGAAAACTACTGGACATTCAACGCAGTTTTTCACTTAATGGTTTCATAAAATCAAAGCGGAAATGAAAATCATAACAAGTGGTACAATACTATTTGAAACTACAGAACAGAAAATGCAAAACCAATGATGCTACAATGGTAATTATTTCAATTAAATCCACTGAATTTGATGTAGAGATATTCCATACCATAAAGTTCGAAATTAAAAAGAAAGTAAATAATTTGAAATCCCAGAAGAAATCACCCTGAAGAAACATGACATCTGAACTTTAGAAGCAAATGCCGTCAGGATACAATATTCATGATAGTTCGATCAAAATTACAGCGAGATCAACAACTTCACAAATATTTTTCTTCGAAAAGCACCAAATTCCACCTGATTCTCAAACAAAATCACTGTCGGCTAAGCTATCCAATATCCTCAAACATCGATCTTGTTCTAGAAAAAAAGAATCTAAATTACTTCTTATGCCAAAGAAAAACATTATCTATAAATCTGCCAACATTTAATTTATAGTATTAAGGTAAACAAATAGATTAACCTTCTTCAGAAGCGCAACCGATGCATTCTTTAGGATCATGTGAATGTTCAACGTCCAAAGCCTTCTGAACCTGGTCCTCTGAAAAGTCTGTTTTCTGTGTTGTCGGTGAAATTGCATGTTCATTAGTCGACTCTATCAGCCTCGTGAAAGTATTATTTGTTTGCAGAGCTGAGCAATATCCATCATCATAACCTTGCTTATAGGCTTTCTGAAAAACACTTCCACTCACTGAAAAAATTTCTTGTTGAGGAATTTCTTTAGATGGGAACAAAATCTCGAGTAACAAAAACTGAGTATTTGAAGCAAGAAGTGAGGAAAATGGATGACAAGATGAGGACAAATGATTATATTATCACTATGAAAGTGACATACTGAAGTATACATGGCTAAATCAGTCGCATACTGTCTTGCATACTGCTTTACCGCTTCTTCTAACGAATTTATTGTTTGTACGAGCCTGCAATGTAATTTGAAGAATCAGTTATTCATCCACTATCTCAAAAAATTTCAAAACAACTTGAGAGGATGTTAATAAATTGATGATAACTTACAATTAATGAAAAATAATGATCAATTCTCACCTGCAAACATCCCATGCATGCTCGTTCTGCATTTTAATGATTTCTGCGTACAAATTCTCTTCGATTTTGCTCGCCTTTGTGGCAGACCACAAGTCATTTAATTTGAGGCTTGTAGATGCTTCATTTCTGCACCTCGTTTCATAATCCTGTTAAATAGCAATCCACAGCTGTTTAAAGAGAATGAAAATTATAACAATCAAAATTGTAACAGCTCGAAACAAACGCGGTCGAATATATGAATTACCTTGCTTAATAGTTCCAGCGCTCTAATGTTATCATTTTTAGATGCACAAATAGAAGTGACTGAATCACTGTATTCACCAGGCAGTATAATTTTTGCTGACGTACATATGCGTTGTAAAAAGCTCTTCGGTTTAATAGACGCATTGTTTATAGATTCTGTTAGACTGGTAGACGAAACATCGACCTGCAAATAAGTACACAAACAAAACTAAAGCAAATCCTATATGATACAACTGAAAAATTTCAGAAATTGAAAAACTTTTACACCTGTCTTAATTCCCGAGAATCGTCCAAAATTAGACCACTCTTTGAGTAGTTATGAGAAGCAGATGAATCCTGAGGAGAAAACCATTTTTCAGCATCATCAAGCATATTACAATCCGAATCATTTAGCGATGGAAAAAATGAATCCTCTGTTGAGACACCTTGATTTGCATAATGAGCCCTACAGTAGTAATAAACTGGCAGAGAACAAATGAAACGAAAAAAAATTCAAATCGACGCTTTTAGCAAAATAAGATCTGACAGCACTCAATGTATTATAGAAAACAATAAGTATTGAAATACCCATTGATGAGATCCATAAATACTCGAGAGTACAGTTTGGTCCAGTTTCCTTTTCTATCACCCAATGCATTCCCATTAGCAACAAGCCATTTGCGAATACAGTCAACAATCCGCAAATCAGGAATTTCACCACGCAATCTAGACGCTTCCAAAGCTGCTATTATTAATCCATTCTCAGAGCACAGCTGACTTGAACGACTAATCCTTAAAAGAACGATGCCAGAAATACTATACCTGTCGTTTCCTTAGTGCAGTGTATCTCGCGGTCGTGATACGACAATTTATTGGATAAAGTAAGAAAAGCCTACTTGAGAATCCTCAAAACTATTCCTCCTAATTTATGCATTGGTCAAGCCATAGGTGGCTGCTGATCTTTTTGGCTTTACTCGATCAAACAATAGCGATTAAGCGTCAACGGTATTCTCGATTTCTACTCACAATTTATTTAAAGCTCACACAAATATCCAATTAGTAGTGTTTCAGTATTACTACATTGTCACTGGTTAGTCAGGTCAGATTTCGTGAAGGCAAAATAAAATAATGAGGTGCTTCCACTGGTAAAATATATATCAGAATGAAACACTAAAAATTTCTTACCGTCCTTCCTTATTAATGAAAGACACCAGTAGGTTCCAGAAATTCAGCACCATATAACTAGGTTGTGTAAATGCTAAAGGTGGCAAAATACCCGAACTGGGAGTACCATATTTTTGTACATGACATGTGCACAGCTCTGACCATTTTGCTGCTCCTAACAGCAGCACCTAAATGACAAATGCATTTCATTATGCAGTAAATTACTGTCATAACTTCAAAAACATTTGATTCATCTGGAATAAAGGTTCATGAAACATACTTTTGCATCAATCCTGCTAAGTGATGACAATGTAAATGATTGAAGATCATCATCAGATGTCTCGGCGGGTATATTTTTCAGGAAAAGATCCAAAAAACAAGCTGAAACTGATGAGCATTAATAATTTCATGACTCACAGATCAATTAATTGATATGAAGTTTCTCACTCCACAGCAGTTACAATGACATAAATAAAGAGGACGTAAATATCAGGTATTAGAAGAATAATCCTACGATCAGATGATATATTCACTTACCGTTTTCACGCATATCACTATTGTAAGCTAACAACCATAACAGGTTAATCAGAAAATCGTTTTTATCCGCCAAAATAATCAATCCTGAAAGATTACAGAACTGAATAACCAAGTAACTTTTCATTAAAAATGAATATTTCTAAGAACTAGTGCGAACTAAGCGATAGAACCATCAATAACGCCAAGTACGTAGAAGGGAAAATGAGGGTAAACCAAAATAAATGACTTGAACAAACAAGACATCCGAGTTTTGGATATATATCAAATTAAGAGTATACGAGAACGAAAAGACTTCAAAATAATTATCTGAAAGGATGCATCAAGAATACCAAATAAAATCCTACAAAATTCAAACTGTAAGAAAAAAAGAATCACTACAGAACAATGAAAGCAATCCTTACTGCTGATTTTGTTCTGTTCTATACCATGCGTTTCATGAGTGTTTGGTATCGAATTTATTGAAACCATGAATGATTTAGAACGCGATGCAGCAACACCGTTACATGCAGCATACAAACGTTCTCCAACCTATAGTGCAGCAACATTGCTTCTCACAGCACACTGATTTCAGCTTCACAATATATACATTCTTATTTTAGTTGCTTGGAACAATCTTTGAACCAATATTATTCTAGAAAAAACTCATACCTTTATTTCAAATAATGATTTCTTTCAATATTCTGATTACAGTAAGCTACAAAATTTCATAAGATCACCAATTAATAATTCTGTGAAATACCGAATGAATAAGATACCATTTGTGTCGTGCAGTTGGATAATTTGACCGTATTAAAATGTTGAAGAAATGTATGCAGTACGAACGTCTCAAGCACAAAGATAGCAGCAAGCAGAGGTGATACAGGTGATGCTTTGTAAAAAATATCATATGCGATCGCGTAACTGGCACATGCCAATTCCTCGTACACCTTACTTCCTTTTTCCTGAAACAAAAAACTTGAAAGGAGAAAGTAAAAAGTGAAAAATAAAGTAATAAAAAATAAAGTAACCCATTGTAAAGTATGATCATTTCTTTGAATTTCCAATTTAGCTACATGCGCTTCACTTTAAATACAATTCAAAGCAGTGCAAGGAAAGAAAGAAAAGTAAGAACTGATCAAATAATATTAACTGTATTGTGAAGGAGAAGAAACGTATCGCCAATGTTGCGGAACAATATGCCTTTAGCAAACGACTGAAAGTGGTCCAGAGACGGAGTGCGGGGAAGTTCCATTACTTCCCTAATTAAGGCGTCCAACCTGCAATGAAGCAGTAAGGCACGAAATACATTTCCTTTAATTCTGTCCTTTTCGTTTCCGCGATACTACTATGTTATTTTGGAGTTTTGACGCAGGTACAGTAAGACTACAGCATACCAAATTCTTATTGAGATAGCGAACAACGTATGGACTTACTCAAGTATATGACTGAAGATTTTGGTAGTATGCAAAGTCCCGACATCGAACGAAAGCTTTAACAAATGCTTGACTCGTCCATTCAGTACCAACACTAAAGTTTTGAAACGCCCTTCATTTTCTTGTAAATCCTGTCCCTGGAAATAAAAGAAAAGTGGCAAATTCCAATAAAATTCTGACAATAAGTTTTGTCCACAATAAATACCGCAAGATGTTATAAATCTAGCTCTGAATCGAGCACTAACCACAAGCTTCCACTGTACTTTTTTTTATATTTCAAGATCTAACGGTACATGAAAGCATTGGTTTTGCAAAATGTCCATACTTCACGATATTTACTCCACCTTCAGAAAGAATTACCTTCAATATCAAGTACGCTCTATTTAGCCAAACCGTATCGTTAAATAATGGACTCAGAATTTTTGTCGTTTCTTGTTCCATTTCCTGCATCAGCTTCACGTCGCGTTTATACTGACTCTAAAATTTCAAACGATCTTTATTATTCTCGCTATATTAGTGCATGCAGTCCTGGCAAAAAGATCAAATCTACATTTAATAAAAAGTCGTAATTTCTGATTTGATTCCTATCATTTTTATTGTTCCTCTACATGCTCCACCAATTATTCATTAATATCATCATCTCTATTCAATCTATCAAGTTTACTAGTAACTTTCATAGAAAGAAACTTACAGTTTTGGAAGTCGTAGACTTTTTCGATGGTTGAAGCATTGCATTAACCTAGAATAATTCCTATTAATAAGACGATCATTACAACTTGACAAATATAGCATACAATTTGAATAATCAACATAGCACTAGCTACGACTCATCAGCACTACGACTACAACCAATATAAAGCCAGAATTATCGACGAACGTTATTAAATGTCAAGCATATGTAACTTACTTTCTAAGCAAATTCATAAGGCAGCACTAGATACATGTGTCATATTTCGTTATTATGTGCTATCATGCACCCAACTAAAACTAAACTAAATGCAAATAAAAAAAAATAAAACTAAAAATTTGGAAAAAATTGATTTCGAAACAAAATTAGAACTGTAGTGTATTTGGAATAACATTAGCATAGTTGATAATTTTGGTCGTAAACAGGGAAATGGAAAAAACAATAAGAATGTGCAAATACGCCGAAGTGAGTGCAACTTTTTAACCTTACGTTAGAATAATTTCAAAGACATGGTGGAAGAATGGTACATTACTAAAACATTTATCAGCCTCTACACAGGTTTCCCAACCAGAAATCAAAGTGACAAACCCCGATTACACTCACCGTTTCTCACCAATTGTTCACACCATTTGTAGTTATGTCTTATGCTTCGGTTAAGAGGTACAACTATGCTAGAGCCACAGTGAAAATAGTTGTCTCATGGAATTTTCTAATGAAATTTCAAAATGAAATTCAAATTTTGCGCCTCGCGATTACACTTTCTACCTCATTTTTTAAGTCAATGTGTTTTCAAGTATGTTAAAACGTGATTAGGACAACGTGAGATGTATGGTGAAAATTTTTTTCAGCTGCCTTAACCATAATATAAAAATTAAAGAAAAATTTTGTTAACTGAAACAGAACGAAAATTATATTTACCAAATCAGAAAGAATTCGTTTCTGATTTGCAACCTTGATCTCATTGTGAAAGCATACACTGATAAAAAACCTTGCAAGCAATTGGCGTGTGTCATGTGTGGAGATTAACGGGACATTTATTAACATGTATAGGAAATATATCTATGTGTTAGTAATCTGTGCAATGCAATACTTCTAAGCTGATGATGAATGGATTTCTTTATTACTTTCAGCAAAATTTAAAAATTAGTCCAGTTACTATATGTGAATTTCGTTACGTTACTGCCGGTAATTAATTAATTTCAAAATTAATTTTTAAAAAACTCATAATTATAATAAGTATCGTTTGATGTTTGTTTTATTCTCAGCAAGCTGGAAACTAATCTTTGAAGGAGTTTTCGAAAAAGCCATTTTTTTGATTTGCGTCGCTTCCAGAAATGGGATGATAAAAATTTGTTAAAAAATTTGTTCGTTGGCTACTTAGTAAGTCACAGAAATGTCTGATTTACTATATCTGATAATGCTGGTATTGCTAATTGAAAAACTCAAATTCAAAAACCGAAGGAATTTCAATGTAAACAAAAAGTGTATTATTCTAAAATTCATCAATATTTCAAGTTTCAAGTACTAATTGATTTATATGACAAATAAAGATGAAAGATCATTTTAAGTCATTTCATATGAATTTTAGTTTAATTGAGATCATAGTCTGATCACCCAATGTGTTCAAGATCAAGATCGATCACCGAGATTGTATTTAGCCTCATCGTATCTTGATGGTCGACTCACCAACTGACCGTTCAGAAAATAATCCATAGGTGTCGGCAAATATTCACTTGCTATTTCATCCTCATTCATCCCTTGGCTCGTTTTTGTCTGGTCCTTCACGTTTCTCTCATTCTACGTGTAATTTATAAACCAAACGTGTTTTAAAAATTAGTGTTTAACTTAAAGCGTAAGCTTTATTGCAATTACAATATAGTATATAATGCTGAAATGTATAGAATTAGTTTATGAATAAATTTTCAAGTTTTCCAAAAAGTTGTAGGTTTCAAACTTTCGATACGCAATGCGTAAACGTATCTTGCCAAGGTAATGCTATTTACGTAACATTCAAGCAGTCAATTTTATCTTTTAATCTATCTCTATTCTCGTCTGTTATTAATTAACTAATTAATTATCCACTTTACCATTTCATCTTCAGTGATTCCTTCTTTTCCAGTCACCTTTTTTTGGCTAACAGAATTGATCTCTATCTCGGATTGTTTAACATCTGGTATTTGCAGTTGTTGACATTTGGTTGGAATTGTTGAAATTGAAGTTTGCATAGAAGTTGATTTCACCGGTGCTTCTTTTTGTGGTTTCTGAACCACTTGCTCTGTTGATGTAGTTGTCGTCCGCCTTTCCTTCTTTGCCTTCTTCATTTCTACAGAATGGAAATGTTAGTTATTTCAATCCCAAATATTGCTACCTGTTAATGCTAATAAAACATTAGTAGAGAATTCCTTAATTCAAGAAATAATCAAAATTTTTTTCCGATTTTTTTTATTTTCAAAGACTTTATTTTTCCTTCAATGATAATTGATAACGTTTTTAGTTGTTATCAAATCACGATAAAAGTGCAAACTATTCGTAATTTCTAAATGTTATCACTTAATCGTCAGAGTAAATAAATTTCATCAAAGTAAACGTTTTTACATAATTTACAGTAATACATTTTGATAGACTGTTATTGTATTAGGTACCAGTAATAAAAATGCAGAGGAAATATTATATGAGAAATTTAATTTAAAAATTGATCCTTAAATTTGGAAAGAAATTAATTACCATATAAATTCCTTTCTGGTGATAAATCATCTGAATCTGAAATGAAAATAGAAATTGATAAATTTCATTTCAAACCAATCATGCTGTTTGGCAAAGCAAACTCACTCCAACGAAATACACAAAGTCGTTTGAAAAATTTAATTAAATAATATTCTAGCAGTATTAATTCTGTATTTTACTTGATAATCAATTAATTATATCCAATTATTTAATGAAGATGTGAATAAGTAAATGTGTTAATTAATAAACACAAAATATAACATTGTGTGTACTGTACATCCAATTCATCCTTTTTGGAAGCTTTAAGTAAATTGAAAAGTTTGCTATGATCCATCTGTTTAGTTTCGAATTTCATCATTTTATTCTTCAATTCCTTCTTGTACTTTGCTTCTTGTCTTGAAATAGCAACCATTCTAGCCGCGTGTTTTACACGTTTCTCCATCACTTCCTTATCTTCATTTTTACGTAATGCTTCTTCTGTTGTAACTTTTAACTTCTTCAAATCATCTGTTAATGTAACTTTATTTCCAAAGTGATCTTCCCATGTTTCCATAACACTTCCCATTGGTTTCTTGGTTAATTTGCTTATCAATTTATCATGCTTAACAGCCGGATATTTATTGGCTGTTACATTTGCAAGCAGATTATCATCTCCTCCTTTCCGGATTGTTGCTACAACACGTATCGTTTCACCATGCGTATCTTTCATGATAATGTTTTTCCTTCCAACAACCTAAATACCTTTGGGCATTTCATACGATCAATAATTTACGAAAGAAGTACTGTTTCAATTGAAAATGTTAACCGCTATCATCAAACAAATTATCATTTGAGATATTATGGCAAGGAATCATAGCTTACTAATTATGATTGTTCAATGCTATGAGCAAATTAAAATTTTGAAACAGCATTAATATTTTTGTTGTAGTTTGAATTTCGAGAATTAAGTTTGAAAAATTAGATGCTGGAAAATTTGGAAATCGTACTTTTTCTTGTCTAATAAATGAAGTTCTAAAGATTTGGCTAAGAAATTATGCCCGAAAAGTTATATTTGACTAATTAATTAGATTTGAATTAATATGTAATACCTCGATAGCTCCTGACCTTATTGGTTGCTCTTTCGTTCTCAGCTTCCGTGTTTTAATTTTGGTATGCGCGGGATGCATTAACGTATTGATTCGTCCAAATATCGTTACTTCCTTTATAAGAAAGAATAAATAATAGAAATACTTTGTTACTAACAATCATTTAAAATAATTTTTTAAGTATTAAAACTATTAAATAATAATTTTAGCAAATAATTGAAGCATAAATATATTAAATATATTGCGTATAAATTAATACTTCCAATTCTTTTTTGCATTTTCTTCATTCTTTAAATTATTTTGTTTTTATATTTTGCATTATTGTTAGCAATAACAAATGCATTTTCTCAATGTATCCATCATCCGAAAAATGTCAACCATTTAATCTATTGGATTTGAAATGGCATTGAATTGATTCTATCACTTCTGAACTTTCATTATCATTCATATTTACCGATTCTTGGCAAGTTACGTCACGCCTCTTTTTATTTTACTCCTTAGAATTTGCAAAACTTTCATACCTTTGTTACTCGAATCTCTTCAACTTCTTGAAAGCTTTATAAATTCAACGAAAAAAAAAAAAAAAGACCAACTCACATCGTCATGATTACGAAATGAAAAGGGGAATTTTGCTGGCCGCACTTTGTCTTCAATTTTTTCAAACATCGTATCACACTGTTACATGAACTCATTATAAATAGGGTACAATTAACGAAATCTCGGAGTATTATTTTGGTATCTTTCAAAAATACCAAATAATAGCACAAACACTTTTTGAAAAAAAATCAATTTTAATTTTATTTACAAGAGAGTAAATGCTTCTAATTGTAAAATTTCAGCCTTTGCAGCTTAACTTCTAAATAATGTCACTAGATGAATGCATATACATATACGTAAAAAGTGAAATCAATCTCGGGAGTGATTCGGTAAATTAATCTCGAGAAATAATTGAAGATGCAGTTAGTATAGGAAAAAAAAAAAAAAACCTACATCGGTACACCTGATTAGATATTCTGGTAAGATTATTGCAAATGCATTTGTCATATTCTCAACATCTGTATCATCCTAAAAATAAAAAAAATCTTTATAAATATTCAACTACCCGATTTTAAATTATCATCGTTGTTTAATAATAAAAGGTGCTAAAATATTTGAATCCAGTAGTAGCCATGCATGCAAGCAATTGTGCGTGTAAGCAACTGTGCATGTAAGCAATCATGCATACAAACAACTGTACATGTAAATGATTGTGTACATAAATAATTTTGCATGCAAGTTTAACCAAATAATCTATGCGCAGAATTCACAGTTATTAGACATAATTGTCTAATAATAATTGCATGTCATAACTTCAATTATTATCGATCATATCCATTTGAAGTAACACTTACAATACAAAACAACTAACCGTGCTGATGCCTAGTGATTGCTTAGGACTACGCTTAAATTCTTGGCTAACGCTTGAGCTAATGGGTATGATCTTTGATTTAATATTGATTATAGATTATGCTTAACAAAACTATTCTACTTTGAAATTTCAAATAATTCAAAAAATAGATGTATGGAACATGATGAAAGATAAGATTTGTTTATAAGCTTGAATGATTAGAAATTTATCTGACATCGTCATAATAGCTGATACTGTACATTTCATTTTTTGATTTTGAATGCAATGATTTGGATTTGATTGATTCCTGCAATTAATTATCATTCGTCCTCTTAATGAATTACCATTTTACCCATTTGAAATCTTATTGGATATCTCTTTACTTTATTATTGTTTTAGGTAATTTTAGGTGGTATTATAAACTTGGTATTGGTTTATTCATGTAAAACTATTGAAACAATACCTTCGATTTTGATTTCATATTTTTCATATTATGACATCCTATAAGTACACTTATCATTACAATTTTTCCCTCAGATTCATTAATTTCTAATGTTTATTATCAAATTTAATTCTATACTGGTAAAATTCTTGCTATATAGTTTTTAAATATACCTTCAAAAAGCTTTCTTTCACCCAACTGAAAAAATTAATAATTAAATTTAAAATTTTAAGAAAAGTTTATGAAAAGTTAAAAAATCGAATTTGATTTTTTGTTTAATTTTCCAATTTTAAGCAACAATTAATTTATTAAAATTTGTGTATTTTTCAGTTAGTAGGAATACGATCAACAAATGAAAGTCATTTGATGTGATTGCTGCAGAAAGTTAATTTGTCTAAAATAAATTTAATGAAGTAAAATTGGAAATAAATATAAATATACTTTGGAAATGTAGTTTTTGCTGACATCATATCGTGGCAATTTTTTAAGATTTCTTTTTGGGAAACCTGAATTATTCATCCATTATTATAAACGAAGGATTCATTCAATTTAGATGTACTTTTGGAATGGTTTTCTGGATAAATAAGTGAAATTATCTACAAGTGGGAATAATTGAACCAATGATAGCAATAATAGATAATCTCTTGGGATGTTAGTAAATAACACTTGATTAAATTGAAATTTTGGGCATAAGTCAAATTTTGCGACAATTTACTGTCAACTTCATTAGATTACTGGACAACGTAGCCTAATTTTATTGAATTGTTAGATCTATTTGTTACAGAAGAAGTTTCTAATAGGGTATTATCAAAGTTAGCACAATGACCGCCAAATTGAAATTGAAGTCAAAATGACAGTAGCATGAAACCTGTAGTAGTTGGTCTCATAAATTTCCATCTGCTTTTGTTGCTTAAAAGAATTTCATTAATTGAAGTATGCATAAGTTAAGTAAACCGTGCCATTATAATTAAATACCAAATGTACTAATTGTAACTATAGTAAAGTACGGTATTGTCGAAGGGAGGGTAGGGAGGATGGAAATTTTTATGCTATTAACAAAAACACTTAAAATCAAATCATTCAAATGTGAAGTTTTTATTCATTTTAATAAAATTTTAGTAACTAGCACTTCATTTAAAAATGTCACCAAAGTTTTGCTTAGCGACAAAATGTAAAGGTACGAGAAAAACTTCCCACCTTCGAGAATCATAACTATCTTGGCAGGTGGAAATTGTTGATTGTGAAGCATGAAAAAAACAAAGGATTGATAAAAAAGATTATAAAACAATTGATTTCTGAAAGTGATTTGTTATCAGGAAAAAATTATGATAAAATGGAATGACTTTTCAATAATCGCCATCCATTCTTGAAATTTTATAAAATTCTTCCGGCAAAATATGCTATGTTATTGTTTTTTGAAATAGTTTTTTAAAATGATAATTTTATTGCTAAGCTAATTTATTGAAGAAATCAGGATGAACAATGAAAATAAAGAAAGAAATACTAATAAATATTAGTTTCAAATGTATTTTGAAATTTTTAACTACAATTGTTAATAAAGAAAAAAAATTTAACACTGCTAAAGAACTCTAATATTATTAAAATTAATCAAAATTAATGGACTTTGGATTTTTAGCACAAAAGTTTTTGCAATAGTAATTGCTTTTTGTGATATTTGAAAATAATTTATGTTATAAAAATGATTTAAAAAGAAAAAGAATATACAAATATTCGTGTACCGATCTCATTACTGATTTTATTGATTTCGATTTAACGTTTTTTAAAGACATATCTGTTGTTTCTTTTTCTTTGCTTGAATTCTTTGCTTTCTTTGTTTGAAACCTTCTAAATACGAGTTGTGTCACGATGACAGAACAGTTCATGTATTGGTTTTGTTTGTAAACTTATTAATAAATTGTGTTTGAAGAAACAATAGCTGATGAATTGATTTGTTAACAAATTTACCTCATTTAATTTTAAATTTACTCTAACCATTTTATTTTATTTTTCTTCCTTACTCGCTCACCTCAACATTTACAATCCACCGAGCGGATAATGAGTAACGAGTACAAAATAAAATTTAAATCAACCATCTTATTTGATTGTATTTATAGTATTCGACATAATTTGCATAAATACGTGCTACAGTCAAAATTTATTTAATGAAAATGAAAAATGACGATATTTTTATACAGAAGACGGGTATGTTTTATTAATAATAGGATTAGATTCAGCTGATATCATCATCAACATGCCATACTGATTATATCACATTTGGATTCAGGGTTCTCATCATCGATATGTCTTACTGCTTCTCCACGTTTGCATTCAAAAGGTATCATCATTATCAGTGATGTCTCATAATTTCTAGCATGTTGATGATGTCATCGAACTATCAGTGTCATCTTTAAAATACATTAAAAGATCACGAAGCTCTTTGTTAAGTTTTTTTATTCGGTCCATTCTTGCACATAAATTTGCCATTATTGCATCTGTCTAGAATAAAAGTGATTGTTTTAAACGTGGATTGATAACACTTCAAAAAAATTTCTAAGAATGAAAATCTACAAATTGAAATAATTGTTAATTAGCTGGGTAATTATACATTTAGATTACATCATAATTGAAATAAATTTAAAAGTTGAAAAAGAGTAGAAATCAAATCGTTCCTTTGAAATATCGTATATTAAGTCAACCTGTTTCATTTCAAATTGTATACGATCGTGCCAAAAAGTAAGCTCTCTGTGAATTATTTCCTTACAATGTGATGACAATTCAATTGTCTACAAATTTTCATATTAATTATTAATTGCTACACAAGGATTAAAATTACAGTGCATTTTTTAATTATTAATTTAATTTTCACTTATTAACACTCAGAAAATAAGAAAATTCTACACCAAATTTATGCTTTTTTAAAATTTATATTAATTAATTGGTTGTAACTTTTATACCTCAAATCTCTGATTTAAACAATATAAATATTACCGATTGCCTTAAAAAAACAAATAATTAAAAGTATGCGAACAGTCTTTCTCTGTTAATTACATTTCAAAACATTGGCTTTATTATTTGAAAATAAATAAACAATAAAAAAGTCGGTAATGATAAAGAAGAAAACCTTTCTTGTATCGGTGTTAAAGATATTATTAAGTTGTGCAATATTATTACTTTGCAATTGTTTCGTTCGATTACATAATGGGAATTTCACCGATGGTTCTATCATTTTTTCCATTTCACTCATATTTCCACCATCACTGGCTGTTTTCAGATTAGACGAAGACATCTGTTCATTTTAGAGGAAATTAAAATTTCGTAATTGCAATTAATGCACTTCTTCATTTCTTTAAATTTTAATGGTCACTTTTTGAATAAATTGAAATTTCATTTTCAAGTTAAAATTTGAAGTTAGAAGTGAATAAGCAAATAAAAGCGAAAATACCACATCAGGTTGAGTGGTATTTTCAGATTGTGTAACTTCACTTTGTGGATACGAATAATCATCATTTACATTTCCTTCTGAAATTCACAATCTAAGCTCATCAAAATTTGCAACAGAATTTCAAATAGAAAAATGTTGCTTCATTGAAGATAACACTGTCCCAAATTTGAAATGATTGATGAACAATTAATGACAATTAATTGCGCAAATCATACTGATAAATATGATATGAAATGGCTGATCTGATAAGCATTCCATTGTTCGTCGTAATTCTTGCCAAACATTTTGATCAAATTTACAATTCGTTGATTGGTTTTCAACCATTATTATTTGTTTATTTTTTGCTTATTCTGTAATTTGTTTTTCACATTTGATTAGAAGAAAATTTAAGCATTTTGCAAAAAAAAAAGATAATTCAATTGAATATTGGAGTTGAATATCAAGTTTTCAAATTAATAATTAAAGAGAAATTGACAAATTCATTTTCATAATTTCAGTCAATCAAAAAAGTTTTTAATAATTTTACTTCCCTACATCCATACTTATTTATATTCTATATCCAATGATTCACTCACAGCAAAAATCAAAGGAACTCTCTTCCAGAATGATTTAATGAAACAAAATGAAGTCTCCTTTATTTCAGATCCTGCTCTATTCGACCAATCGTTTAAATATGAAAAGTTGACAATAACTTTTTTTCTCTAACTAATGCATAATTTGAAATTAATTTCCAAAATTCCATTATTGAACAAAAATTTTTTTGAAAAAGGGAAAAGAGAAAACGAACTTTATGTCAGTGCAAAACAGTAACTATAATGCATGCTAAGAATTAGTTAATTAACTAATTAATTAATATTTCCTAATATGGTATGCACCAAAAAGTGCAACTAATTAATATATTTTGAAAATGGTGTGGACTGAAAATAAAGTAAGTGTATGAATGGCATAAAATGACTATTTTTCACTACGAATTTAATCACTGCTTATTTAAGTTCACTTATTTTACTGAAACTTTGAAAAAAAAGAAGCGAATTAAGGACAAAAAAGATCTTTAAATGATTTTCTCTCTATTTCTCCTTTTACTTTAAATAATTTTCTCTCCATTTCTTTCTTTACTTTAAATAATTTTCTCTCTATTTCTTTCTTTATTTTAAATAATTTTCTCTCTATTTCTTTCTTTGTTTTAAATACATGTTGCGCACTCAGATATAATAATATATTTGAAGTTACATTCAAATTCTTAGAATTTTTACATCAATCCAGGATTTTGAATGAATCATTTCAGAATTTTAATGCATATTTTTTTAATTAGCTACCAGAAAGACATTTTCGCACACACTAATTTATTTATTTATGCTATTTTTTTTAAGTTGCTTTATTTCATTATTTTTTCTTTTTTGCTCATTCAACGGCAATATTTTATTATTCTTATAAACATCTAACTAAAACCGTCAACAAAAATCTTCAATGATCTTAGAACTTTCCTCGAAAATGTCCCATTTTTCGACTCTCAATCTTTTCCCACCCATCAATCTCACACTTTTTACTGAAATAAAATTTCAGAGACTACAAATTAAATTTTTATTACCATAAACGAAATTTGCTTGCAAAGGATTTCGGTACTTTTTTGTTTGCTTTAAATTCAATCAAATCCTAAACTAAAAAAAACAAAGGGAAATAGGGAAAGAATTTTAAAAGAATTGATACAATTTTGGTGACTGGATAATGTCTGTGTCAATTAAAGAAAAAACAAGAAGAAACATTTTTGAATTTTGAAAAAATTTGTAAAATTCAAAAAATTATTCCATTTCATTTTAAAAATAATCTGTCTAAAAAGGAACAAAAATCGGGCAAATATTTTACCATACTTTTTCTTATTCCACAAAAACATTTACAGGCCAAAAATTTTTCCATGTTCTCTCAGAATGATACAACGCAAAATATCCATTGTTCAATTCCTCCTCCTTCCACCGGGAGCAATCCCGCGGATTGTAAAACTCTTGAAGTATTAGGGATCTTTTGTTCACAAAAATGGAATTGTGGATTGCTTATTCCTGACTTTCATTACCAAAAAAATATAACCTTGGAAAGATTTGTTTGGATAAATATTTTTCCAGAATGATAATTTCTCATCCCTTCCTTCATTCGCCTAATCTTTTATCCCTTTTCCACTTCTTTTTCTTTCTCTTTTTATTTGATATTTATGTGACATTTTTGGAAATGGAATTATACAATAACTTATATATTGTCTTTTTTATTTCTTACTAATTTCAATATAAATTAAAAACTACAATGATTAACTCATTCACTATCAATTCCTTTCTTTCTTTTTTCTCTTCGTTTCTTAGCAAATTTTTTTTTCTCTTTTTATTTATTGCTTGTTTATTTTTTTAATCTATTATTCGCAACAATAAATTCATTTTTCAAATTAACATTAATAATAGCAGTAATAATAACAATAATAATAATAATAATAATAATAATAATAATAATAATAATAATAACAATAATAATAATAATAAAATAATAATAATAATAACAATAATAACAATAATAATAATAATAAAATAATAATAAAGATATAATCATTAATAAAGAAGTGGTTTGAAAATTCTTGTTTTCAGTGAAAAGGTTAGAAAGTGGAGAAGGAGGAGGAGAGAGGAAAATATGAATGAATGAATTCGTTTAAGTACAAAAGAAATAGAACAGAAAGGACAAGTGGAAACTATTATTTCATGTATCAACTGGATAAAGGTGACAACTTTGCCCGGATCCTGCTCTTTTTCCTGATTTTCCTAAAATTGCTTCACAAATTTCATGCTTGATATTGTGAATGAAATATTTAAAGGTTTCACTCATTCATTATATCAATGATTCATCCATTACCGTCGTCAAAATTATCATCATTATCACAAGCTGATATCCTTCCTTCGTATTAGCAGTCAAGTATTGGACAACTAAGCAGACAGTGATGATTTACAAAAATTAATGATCATGATTTTAAAATGAACATGGCTTGATCGAATTTTGCAAGCAAATGAATATTTGCAATCCAATTCTTCATCTTCGTTTCCGCATTTAGCTTTTGGTTGAAATTATTATTAGGGTATAATACTAATTAATTAATTACTCGGAATCCACTGGTGCCGATGACTGTTAATGTTTTTCAGTTCCTCATTTCAATAAAGTAATTAAAATCAAACTTCTGCCAACTCTTCAACAATCATTTAATTTGAATTATCCTTTGGCCTAGATTTATATCTAATTTCATCCCGTTAAATCATATAATCATCCCATAGTTTTTGGATTGCTTCTGCGACGATTAAAAAAAAGATAAGAAAATTACCGCTTATTGAATAAGAAATTGACACAAAGGGAAGCTGTAAAGGAGAGAGAGAGAAAGAGAGAGAGAGGGAAGGGGAGGAAGAGAAAGAAGGAACAAAAATTAGAAAAAAGAAACCATTTTTAAAAAAATGGTTGAACCGAACTCTTTTATAACATCATTGTTCATTTTGTTTTTTGTTTTAATTTTTTTGATTTTAATTTTATTTTTCCCGTTTACATTCATACATGCTGTTTCATATTTCTGCGGATATTTTTCCAATTTTGCGTTTTTCATTCGTTACGGATATATGGAAGCAGGATGATGACCTGTACAACGAGCTGCGAAGACCTAAATTTCTTTCATTTAATGTGACAGTTTCTTCAACATATCAGCATGTCTTGCTCTTTTCCAGTAATAACGACAATATCAGCTACAATAAGAGCAATAACAACAACAACAACAACAACAACAACAACAACAACAACAACAACACGACCACCACCATCATCACCATCATCATCACCACTACCACCAACAACAACAACAACGATAACAATAATAATAAAGATATTATAAACCACTGCTACTATTACTACTGCTACTATCACCACTACTACAACCACTACTATTGCCACTACCATTCCGGTATTTTCACTATGATTTCTATTGCTTGTATGTTATACTTCTGAGTTCTATCGTCGTCCACTTATGTGACACGCTTCTATCTCCGAAATTTGCATTCTGATGGAGTCATGCGGTCAAGTAATGACCGTTGAACTATTACTATGACATTTTCTTCCCATAAATATTATTATACGTCTGCGTCAACTAATCAAATAACCACTTCAACAAACTCATTTCATCCTTTTTTCTCTTTTCAACTTCATATTTTTCATTTCTTTGCATTTGTTTATTCTTTTATATTTACAATATTTTATTTTACTTCCACTAATAATGTTAACACTATGATGCAATTTGAAATTTTAGTTCTTAATTGAATTAATTTGAATTTTATTTCGAATTGACATTTTTTAATTTCAAAATTTCCGCCTTTTGAGTTTTCCAACTTTTTTTTTCACTAGACTAGTAATACAAAATATTGAAGCTTAATCGAGTTTCATCACAGCTTTATATATGCTTAGGGGTTTTTTTTTCTGAATAATAGAAAACAACTTTTAATTTCGATATTAAGCTTTGTTGTCTGCATGGATTATATTTGAATTAAATCTCTGATTGAAGATAGCTCCAGTCTCTCCCTCTCTCTCTCTCTCTTTTTCTCTCCTTCTTTCTTTCTCTCTTTCCTTCTCTCTTTTACATTAGTTTTAAAATTACGTGCAGTTATGATAAAATTAATTAATTTTATTTTTGCTTAAACCAAATTATTTAATTTAAATTACCTTTTTCATCGAACACTTCACCTCTTTTTATTAATCATTTAACAATCAGCACTGCTAAAATTATCCGCCAAATATATTAGTATGGATCAGTTCAGGTCATGTCATGATATTGTTCATGTTTGCAGCACTTTGAATTTGACCTGAGATTTATATTTAGATATTAAATATGGAAATATATAAAAATGGATGATCTAATATTGAGTTATATTGATCAAGTTGATTTGAATTAAGTCATGCAATGGAATAGGAAGCTATTAGATCACAATGAGTTTCATACCACTCAGTGCTTCAAATTTGACCTAAAATTGTACTTCTATAGAAAAATTTACAAATGTACGAAAAGATATTCATCGGTAAAGGTCACATATGTCGTGGGATAATTCGATAAAATATCAGAGGAAACCCGTTTAGAGCATGAACATGTTGTCGTCATAATAGTCGTAAATTTGTTAAAATTCTATTTCCCTTTAATTCTGGTCATTCTTGTACTTATCGTTCCAAATAAATTGTTTAAACGGTTAGCATCATCCTTAACATTCATACTTTTTGAATTTTATTTAATGTACAATTGATGGGAGTAATATTATCAATAAATAGAAGTTATCATTTATTGATTTTTCTCGATTATTTCATCTAAAATATCAAATCCAATTTTATTTTCCAATAATTTATATAGTTCATTTACTTTGTTCAGCATTAATATATTCCTGCGTTTATTGATAGATCATTTGTAACATAATTCATACCATCTATGCTATCTCCTCCTATCTACCATCCCAACTATCCCTTCCCTCGGTTATTCCATCTCCCTGTACCCCCCGTCCGTCTTCTCCATCTGTTCTTCTCTATTCTTCCTTTTCAAACTTTCATTGTTCGATGAAATGTTTCCGATAGTGAAAAGATTCATTCATTCATCTCATTCTCATAGCACTAGCAACATTGAAGAAGACAAGTAATATGATATAAAAGTTGGCTATCGGACGCTTCAAACTGGTTCAAAGCATCGTCGTTCATTTGTGGGTGGTTGAAAGGAGTGGACGAAGAAAGGAGAATCTCTCCGATAGCTTTCTCAATTCAATTCAGCATCCAGCTACCGGTCGTTTTTCCCAGTATCCTTCCTAATGTCCCCCTACTGCTGTCATTCTTATCCATCCATTCCCTTTATCCTTATATCCTAATGTCCACTCATTCCTCTACTGCTTTCACTCCCACCCCACCATCTACTTATTGTCAGTATCCGTAATAGCACACTAATCATGCACTTTTTAATTAAGATTATTGCCTTTCATTGAAGTGGACAATAGTTTGGATGACAATGTCTGCATCATAATAATTTCATATGCAAAAATAAATGAAATAGATGAAGTTTTTCGTTTCTTTTTTCATTTCAATACAACAATTATTTTTAAATGTGTGGAACGAATTTAAAAATCAAAAATTGAATTTTCATTTAATGGATTTTGCTAGAAATTAAGTTGAACATTTGCATTGCCTATTTTTCATCAAATTATTTAAATTTCTTTTTAATAATTGGATACAGAATGATAAGCATAAAATGATAATTAAAATAAAAGGCGAATGAAGGAATATATGTATCAATGAGAAAAATAAACAAGCTTTATTTGTTCAAAAGATAAAGCAAAACAAAACAAACAAATTCTTTTTTCTTCTTTTTTTTCTTTTTTTGATTAGCTATCAAAAAGTAAGCAAACACTTCGAGCAAATGTTTATAATATTTAAACAATTGATATGATATCAGGTTTTTTGTAATCAGCAAAATACATTCATTGCATTTCAAACATAAAATACAAAAGATTGATGTGATAAAGTTTTAAGGAAGAAACTATTATATTAGCCGCATGAAAGATAACATATATAAATGTTTTTTGTTTTGATATCATATCTGTCTCAAATGTATCCTGATTAGAATGAATGATAATGATTCAGGAAAAAGGAAGGGGAGGGGGAGAAAAAAAGCGCCTGAACATTAAAAGCAAACTTTTTCCGGAAAATAACTATTTAATCTCTAAGTATGTAGTCGTTTTGTGTTAACTTTCATTTGTGGGATAAATTGGTCGAAATTTCGTCGCAGTGTTTGTGAATCAACTATGGAGATACTAAATACAAAAGTAAGAAGTTGTAGTGGGGACAATCTTGGCTTCAGATAGCTCCAGAAGTTCTCTAGTCTAATTTCAGCTGGCTATTTTATCTATGGTCTAGCTTCATAGCCCGGCTGCTCTATCCAATCCAGATGATTATTTTATTTAGTTTGGTTTGAAATAGCTAAATATTGCAATTTCCAAGTTGATTTTATAGAACTATAAGTGTTTGCTGGTGACAAGTTGATGTTTTTAAATTTAAATTGAGAATTGCTTTTTGGTATAGCAAAATTGGATTGATCGCATAACCGGAGATGGTGCTGATGATATCCATGTAATTTTTCGTCACCGTTCATATTTAGGTTGCTGCAGCAGCGATAATCAGATGAAACATACAACATACACAGACACACACACATACACACACACACATACACACATACATACACACGTACAAAAACAGACACATACATACAAATACACACTCTCATAAATACAACTAAATTCAATGAGACAAACAAATAAGAGATGAAGGAGGGATACACGTACGTCGCTGATAGATAGGTAGTTCCTTGAATGCCGCTAGGTTTTAGATATATGCAAAACTGGTATATTTAAGGTGAGCTGCTACAAGTGACCAACAAAGGTAGTAGAAGTAGCGGTTCCAGTCGCATGGTTTCACTCTTCTGATCAGCATATGCTCAACTATGTCATCAATATTCAAACAGGATAACTAACCATTGTCAACTTATTGTCGCTGCAACCAACTACCACTATTCTTGTTATTGTCATTATTACTGTTATTGTTCTTGCTGTTGTTGTTCGTTGTTGTTGTTTGCTGTTGTTGTTTGTTTTGTTGTTTACTATTGCTGTTTGTTATTATTACTGTTATTTTTATTATTGTTATTATTATTTAACAGTATAACTTAATACTACTTTTAGTGTTTATAGTAGAAGTTTTTGCAGATTGTTCTTTTTTTACGATGATTGGTTAATTTATCATAAGTTGTCATGTAATATTGGTAAGAAAAAATTAATATAAAATGAAAACATATATTTAAAAAAATTTAGCTCCGAAAATTTCAACTCAACTTGTAATAGATTGAAATAATTATTAAAAATGTTATATTCAAATAAGAAAAAAGAATTAAGCTGGAAATTTTTTTCTCGTCTTAGATAATTATTGTTAATTTATTGTCGACTGCTTCTGTTATCTTAATAGTTTGCATTAATTATATCCGCTAATTTAAATTTTTAACTATCTTTTGTTTCTTTTTTGTATGTTTTCAGCTTTTCTTGGAATCACTGTCAATCATTTCCATTCATTATGTTACAGTTCTACATGAATCGATTTGTAATTTATTTCAATTCCGATTTAAATTTAACATTTAATTTCGATTAAAATGTATGCGCTGTATGTCTTCTTACTCTTTCTCTTTCATTTTTACTTTTGATTGGAAAGCACCGGATGACCAGTTGATTTGTAAGCAATTAGATGTTGACGATAAATGCACCCATCGATGATCACTTAATAGATCGTTTTTTTTTCTTTTTAACAAAAAGATTAGTGAATTTTCTCTTTTCTTTTCTTCTTTTCTTGAAAAAGTTTCAAACTTTTACTTATACTTTTTTTTTCTAGCAATCTTTTGTCCAATCATTATCATTATCAGTGTGACAATTGGTGTTGAAATTAGATAACGTTAATATGAAGCGTAATATATGCTTCAGTTAAAATGCTAAATACACAGGAAGACGGGATGCGGAGTGGGGAACATGCCAGGTATACTGAGAATAAGATAGAAATGAAAGATGCTTTTCCTTATTGTTTCATGAAATCTAATCATACTATCTTTTTTTGATTATTGTAAATGATATTATGTAATGATAAAAGAAAAATATCACTTAGATATCATAAGATATGATAAGTTAGCCAAGTAACTGAAATGATTGCAAAAAGACAACGAAAAATAATCTAATCTACGATATGACATGCGACAGGAAACCGGGTATGAGCGACTACAACCACTGCTTTGACTCCGACGATGATCGGTCGAATTTGGGTCGATGATGTCCTGCTCCAATGCTCCTTCACTGAACGACACAACAACAATATATAACAATTAAAACTACTTCAAAAATGCTCCTTTTCCCAATCGGCATCAAGCCATTCTCATCACTGTCATCACCATCACCATCACCAATCATCATCATCATCATTATCATTACCACTATCACAATGATTATTATCATTAACAGTAACAATAACCAACTGATCAACATATTTCATTAGTACACAAACAATAAATAATCTCTTTCTCGTTCCCTCCATTCTCCCCCGCCTTTCCCGCCTCTCCTCAACATCTCTTCATATATGAGAGGAATATTTTCACTTTTTAAAAACAATTGCTAAAATTATCACTGAAATGCTATGACTTTTTCATTTTTAATTGCTCCCAGCGCTCATTAAATAACGCATTGTCTGACTGTTTTTTTTTCATTCTTAAATTTAAGTAATTCATTGTTGAATATACAAATGGCAATAGCAGCAATGAAGGAAAATTCAAATTTTCATATTATAATCAAGTCGAAATTACTCTCACATTAATTTATGATATATCAATCCTCCAATCTTTCCAGTTCTTTCAACTCTCTCTTCTCTTCCCTTTCTGCTTTTTCACCTTACTTCTTTAGTTACTTTAAAGAACGGTTATTAAAATGAATTACCCATTCGATGTAAATGTCTATTTGAGGGATAGATATATAAGGATGATTGGAATTGGTTCGAAGTTTCGGATAGGTAGCAATAGTATGAATCAGGAAGATGAAGGGGAAGGAGAAGGAATGGATGAGATGAATGAGAGTTATTCGGGATGAGAGTGAAATTTGAAATGAAATGAATGAGAAGAAAGAGAAATTTTTAGGCAAATTGCTGATGATGGGCTCTTCTGTACTGTAGTTTTGCGCTGGGAGTATTTCGGTAAATAGGACCGCATCCTTATATCCATGCCTTTCATTGCAGTAACCCTCATTTCATACCACCCGGGAGCTTATCGAATTGGGTCTTCCCCTCCCACACCTCGTCTTATTTTATCTCTTCACCTCTCCCCGCTCCCCGCTCCTCCTTCCCATCCCGTACCTTCCTCTCTCTCCTCTTCCTCCTCCATCTTCCTACAATCTATCCATTCTTCTTTGGAATCATCCAAGCAATATGAACCATATTTTTCTGCAATGGTCACTGTGGTCATTACAAACTGTTATTACTTTGTTCCTGAATGGATAGCAAGAATTAATTAATCTTAAAGGAATGAAAATTTTCCTTTTGAATATTTCAAGTAATTATTATTAAATTTAATGTCATCGGTGCTGTTAAGTGGTACCATTACTACAACTACTACAACTGTTACTACTACTATTACAATTACTACAATAACAACTATTACTGCTACTACTACCACTACAACAACAATAATAACAACAACTACTGCTACTAGTACTACTACTACTACTACAATAACAACAACAACAACTACTACTACTACAATAACAACAACAACAACTACTACTACTGCTACAATAACAACAACAACAACTACTACTACTACAATAATAACAACAACAACAACTACTACTACTACAATAACAACAACAACCACTACTACTACTACTATTACTACAATAACAACAACTACTACCATTATGATAACGTTTCATATTTTAAACTTAAAATAATGGGAAGATTTTTTCTTCTTTAAAATAGAAATATATGTGAGAAAAATACTATGTAATATATTTTGAATTTATTATCGTTTCCTGATTATAATATAAATTTTCCAATTCGCTGTATTTTTTTCTTCTTTTTCCCTCTCTCTTTCACCCTCTCCCTTATCATCTTCCTCTCTCTCTTTCAGTTTTTTCTGCTTTTTCTTTTTTTTTAAAAGGATATGCTATTTCTAACTAAAATTCATTGAAATCTTATAATTTTCGTAAAAATTTGGTTTTGTTTTCTTTTGTCTTTTTCTCTCAACTTAATAGTCAAATCCATAAATTGTAAAACAGTTCCTTTTGCTAATATAATAATTAATAAGTTA